CCCACCACCACCATTGTGTTTGTGTTTTTAAGGTAAAAATAACATGATCACATTATAGAAAATTTAGAAAACTGAAATGAAGGCATCCATATTTCTACCAGTCTTTTGCAGCCATTGTTATTTTGATGTGTATTCCTGCCAATCATTTTCATATGATTATTTTGAAAAAACTGTATTTTAGCATTTATATAACAGAGCCTTTTCTGTATTATTATGCTGTCTGCATAGCTGTGATTTTTTCTGGCTGTTCAGGCCTTCGAGGGGATGTGCACCAAAACACACTTGTGCTTTGTGTCATTAGATATTTGTCTTGCTTTTTTTCCCTCCTTTTGTAAATCCTGGTGCAATGAACATTTCCGTAAATACAAGTTTGGTTTTTTTTTGTTGTTGTTTGTTTACATGTTTTTGTCATATTTCCTTAGATAGATTCTCAGGTTCCTGGTGAGAGAGCTCGAAGAGTACTTGCGGCTCTTTGTGCCCAGGACCCAGCCAACTCCACTGGGGACAATTTTTATCATTCTGTGACACTTTCTTATTCTGTGACACTAAGCCTCATCTCAAGCAAGTAGGACTTCACCAAGGTTGGTGACTCTGCCTCCTAGAAGGAAAGACTGAGTTTTTTAATCTGTGAGATATTTCTTAATTGTATTTATTTATTTTTTAAATATTTTATTTACATTTTAGTTTTTGGCAGAGACAACATCTTTGTTTGTATGTGGTGCTAAGGATTGAACCTGGGCCGCACCCATGCCATGGGAGCGCACTACCACTTGAGCCACATCCCCAGCCCCAAATTGTGTTTATTTGAAATCAGCCTCATACTGGGCGCTTGGGTAGAGTGTAACATGGGAAAACGGGGAAAAGTAAGTGGGCTCAGGCCCACATAGAACCTGTGAAATGAATGGAAGGAGATTTGCAAACCAAGGAAAACAAGTGTTTCATGACCCTCAGGAGCAGAGCCCCTCCTCCCCTCTTCTTCTAGTGTCCTCCATTTCAACTGTGTGGAAATGCTCCTCAGCCCAGGTGGAGGCCTGCCTTCCCAGGCCTTTGCTTACCTTTTCTCCTTCTTCTGGGAATCCCACCTTTCTCAGCCCTCTGGGGTGTCTATCCTCCCTCCTGACGTTACTCTGCATCTCACTTTGGTCCCTAGCACATTCATGAGGTGTGTCCACTTGTTTCATCTATCAGACTGTGGACTCTAGAAGGGTAGGTATTGTGTCTTGATTGTCCTGGTGTGTTTCTTACACTGTCACTCTTTGCTGAGTAAAAAGAACTGAGTGTAGGAGTTTTTCCGTGTTATAAGTTCAGTAAAGGGCATTAGCCAGTCTGAGTGGCTGAGGGGGTTTTTAGATTGCTTCTCTCTCTTTTTTTTTTTAATATTTATTTTTTTAGTTGTAATTGGATACAATATCTTTAATTAATTAATTTATTTTTATGTGGTGCTGAAGATTGAGCCCAGGGCCTTGCCCATGGTAGGTGAGCGCTCTACTGCTGAGCCACAACCCCAGTCCCAGGTTGCTTCTCTTTTATAGGTGAAACTTAGTCCTCACCATCCTTTTAAATTACCACTTGACCCACTTAAGAACTAGTTGGTACTCAGTGAGCAGGAAAGAAAGTTGATGCTGTTGGCTTCCTATTTATAACTCAGGGTGAAAGCTAATGGGGCTGGTCAAGTGTGACCCTTCCTTGAAAGACTCTCTGCGTGTGTCTTACCAAGTATGTTTCCCAAGAATCAACTCTTTGAAGTCCAGTAAGGAAACGAAGCAGAAGCCCTTGTCCATGTTCTTCTGGAGTGGGGTTCATTCATTCAGCCACACAGTGATAAAGCACCTTCCATTTGCCAAGTGTTGTATCAGGCTTGAGGAACCCTCGCTCTCTTCAGCAGTATTGTCTCATGTCCCTAGAAACAGATAGGGGTGAGTTTTTGTTTTTTGGTTTTTTTTTTAAGAGAGAGAGAGAGAGAGAGAGAGAGAGTTTTTTTTAATATTTATTTTTTAGTTTTCAGTGGACACAACATCTTTGTTTGTATGTGGTGCTGAGGATCGAACCCGGGCCGCACGCATGCCAGGCGAGCGTGCTACCGCTTGAGCCACATCCCTAGCCCCCCTAGAAACAGATAGACTTGGGTTCAGAATCTGGTGCAGCTGCCCCTGAGATCTTAAATGAACTGCTTCCCATCTCTGGGCTTGAGCTTTTCCAGCTGCAAAATAGGAATACTCCTCCCTCATAGAGTTGTCATGAGGAGTTAAACGAGGAGATATATGGCAGACTTTCTTAGCCCGAGTCCCTCAGCTGAGCCATAGAACACAGAAGCTGACTTGAGTGACTTTTCTCATTTCTTTCCAGAATGAATATAACATGTGCATTCTAGATGCACAGGAGAGAAATCAAGTCACTATGGATAGAGAATTCCTTATGGGGCATAAGTCTCTCAAAGAACCAGGTTGAAAGAGGCTGGCAGAACCTTCTTTTCTGATGGCTTGACACAGTGGCCAGTTCTGAAGTGACTAGAATTTCACAGTAACATGGTTATATCATGAACCTGGCACATAATAGACACAGTAAATGTCAGCTTCCTCTCACAATTCCTCCACTTCCCTCCCTTTCTCACCAGACCTCAGATTCTCTTGAAGCTACCCACAGCTCTCAGGGGGAGCCCAGGTCTCCTCAGATGGAAAGTACCCATGTGTCTTACAGAGAGTTTTAGGCTTCTCTTCCCAGGCAAGTTGCCTTTGACCTTTGGGGCCTCTGATATCTACTAGACTTGCCTCCTGGAAAAAGTGGAGGCATTTTTTTCCTCAAATCTTTACTGAGTTGCTGTTCTGCCTTGGCTCCTTCACCAGGCCCCAGGGAGCAAAAAGGATAAACTAGTCCTAGATGCACTTGGCTGCACAGCATTACCAGCCTGTTAGTGGAGACAAAAATCTGTTTATGATGAGCCTTGTGAGGACCTAAGGGCCAAGCCTTTAAGATTTTAGAAAAAGGAAGGGGGATCCATATGGACGGGTAGTCACTCCCTTCATCTTTATCCTGTCCCAACATCCCCTACTGAACTGCCATTGGCATCTCAACATGGGTCTGGAGGTTGTCTATTAAACATGTACACCTTGGCCAGATATATATGTGCCAGCACTTGAAACCACTACCAGGGCTGCCCCTCTGTTCCTCTGTCCTATGGTGATTCAGACTCAATTAACCAGTTCCTTGGCTAGTGGGTCTGATTTCAGTGACTTCAGCTCACTCAGTCCACTCTGGGTTGAGTCTGAAAGGGAAACAGATACTGAGCCCCACATCTTCCTTGCAAGAAGTCTGTTAATCCTGAGAGAAAATTGCTACTAGTTGTTCAGCTAAAAAATAACCTCAGAACCAATTCCTCCAGCTCCATGTGGCCTCCTAAACCTCATCTTGTCACTTTATTCAAGTCACAGGAGCCACTAGATAAGAGGTCGTATCCAGCAGAAGGGTCATGGTCACAGTGTCTGTTTCAGAGGAGGTTGGAGGGCAGTGGGACTGCCTGGGATGAGGCCTGTCCAGGGACAAAAGCTCTAGGCTGGGCCCTGGGGGTGGCCACACAGACTCAACTTCTAGTTGCTGGCAGCATGGGTGGGAAGATAAGAATTAGTTAACAAAACAAACAAACAAACAAAACCAGGGAACATGTTCAGACTGACCCTCATCTTCATCTCTGTAAATATTCAGAATAGGAAATTAGCTCCTGCTTTGAATCCTAGGACAAGTTACTTCATCATGTGAGTGTCACTTTTTCCATACCTATAAACAACTCCTATAAATGGAAGGAGTTGTTCTCTGAGGGTCTGAGTTTGAAAGGAGAACAGATACTGAGCCTCAACACTTTAACATTATGTTGAAGAGTTGGGTCTATGGAAGTTTCCAGTAGTGCTTTTCTGGTGGAGGCAAGACTGAGCCTGAAAGACAGGAGCCTGTGGTCGAGTAGCAAGGGGCTGGGAGTGGGATGCAGAGATTCAGGGCTGGTGATAGCCTGGCACCCCTTATGGCTAATTTTCCCAGAGCCTCTGCATGGCCTGGAATAGGACCTGAACCCTGCACCAGTGACCAGGAAGCGGGGAAGATGTAGGGTCAGGGTGAAAACAGACTGTTTCATGCCACCAGGGGTGTTGTTTGGGTGAAGAGAAGGACAGGAATCTTGAGCCAGGGGCCAGACAGGAAACAGAGGATTAGAAACTTGGGACAAGGTTGTATTCTGAGGACATTGCACTTTTTGAAAAGAATCCTCCCAAAAACCAGAACAAAAGGTTTTCTTGGCTTTTCATCTGAGTGAGCCCTTCATATCTCTACTCCTAGCAAGTATGCCTGATTTAATAAAATCAGCACTGGCAGCCTGCAGTATTGTTTTTGTTCTAAGACCTTAAACTGTCCTTTAAAAAATAAGAGGAGCTGAGCATGGTGGTGCATGTTGTAATCATAATGACTTGAGAAACTGAGGGAAGAGGATTGCAAGTTCAAGGCTAGCCTTAGCAACTTTCTGAAGCCCTACTTCAAAATTAAAAACAAAAAATTAAAGAGGAATACATACTTCCTATAGAATAATAGATAAAATAGCACAGAAGGGGGCTAAATGACAGGTAAGCCTCCACCTTCACCACCCCATCCACCTCATCTACTCCGCCCACCAAAAAAAAAAAAAAAAAAAAAGCCCACTCCTAGAAGGCAAGTTCTATGAACCATCCTGTATCTGTAAGGCACTGATGAGCACCTGTGTGGTGCTGCTTCTAGGCCTCAGGCTGGGTCTGGATCTTTTCTGAGATGTCATTTGAGCTGAACTATTTATAGAAAGGGCTAGGGGATACGGCTACAGTGTGGCAGGGTGGCCCAGAAGCCTGCAGGAGAGGCTTTTCGGGGCACTGGGCAGGGATCATCATCCTCACTACGGCCAGGTGTCATGGAGTTGCCTGCTCTGGCCTTTTGCCAGGGCACTCTCATCTCCTCATGTATCTAATGCCTCTTTTTCACCTTCACAGGATCCCTCTGTGACACAGCTGACCAGTGCCCCACAGAGTGGCCTCGCTGAGTTCAACCCCTTCTCAGAGGTTGGTGAGCGTGCGTGTTCTCTTGAGTTCTGGGATCCTTTGGTGGTGCCAAGATCGCTGGGGCAAGGAACTATGGCAGAGAAATAAGCAGCTCTGAAAATCTGTAGTCCTCAAGGGTACAATCCTAATATGAACTCAGGGTGGGAGTAAGGAAACATCATCAAAAGTTCTCTGCAATTCTCCTGTTGGGATATATGAACTGGGCCCCTCCCTGAGGAGGGCAGAGCACTAGTGGAGGTTCCTGGGTCCAGCAAGGCTGGGGTTACTGGGTTAGGGATCATATTGCCCTGAACTTGAGGCTTGTTGGCCAAGAGTCTGCAGAGGAAGGCCAAAAGCAAGCCCAGAGGAATTCCCCTCACCCCGTGGGCTTTCCATTAGTAGAACTCACATATTTCCCCCTTTGATCTGTCCCACACAGACAAATGCGGCCACAACGGTTCCTGTCACACAACTCCCTGGGCCCTCACAGCCAGCAGTTCTCCAGCCCTCAGTGGAACCAACACAGCCAAGCCCCCAGGTACTATTGACATCGAATCCATTGGCTTCTCCTGCAATGCGGGCAGACCCATGACTGAGCCCTGAGGCTGGGGGGGAACAGAGGACCTTAATCACTGGCTCCCCTTCAAGGGTCTTCTTGCAAAATTCTTTGGAACTGGTCACTTACAAGTGTAGGGGCTAATTGCCAACTGAAGTACTCACCAGGCTGTGGTCCTTGGTGTATTCAGAGAAAGAATTTGTTCCATTTTACCATTCCAGGTCCTCTTGAAGCCTTTGCCTTATTCTTTATTACTTGGGGCCCAGAATATCTTTATCTATCTTTCTATGGCCCTATTTCTATATCTGTCTCTCTCCCTCTCTCCAACCGGGCTGAGGATAAAACCCAGGGCCTTGTGCATGCTAGGCAAACACTGTACTACCGAACTACATTCTTGGCCCTACACCCCCAGCCCATCTCTATTGATTTTAACCTAATTTATTCCTGCTTTTCTTCATATTTTCCCTTGTCCTTCACCAGATATGGTGAATTTTGTCTGCTTTATGCCCAACACTCCACTCTGTCAACTTCCAACCCTATCCCTAGGCTCCTCCTACCTGAGGCTCCTTGCTGCCCCATTGAGTGTGGCCCACAGTGGAATTGTGTGTTACAGCTTCTGCCTAGGCAGATTGGCAAGTTCCTGCCTGCCCAATTCCTGGCAGTGGGTGAGCTCTCAGAGAGGCAGATGCTACTAGGAGGAGATAGTATTCTCAGAGACAGCTACATGTGAAAGCTTCCAAAGGTAGGCCCAGTGTAGATGCCAAGAGGGAGGCTGGGCATCTACCCTGCCCACACTGGCCCTAGAACCCTGTGGAGGTGAGGCAAGCCTTACATGCAGGGATGACTTTATTTCAGCAGTGTGGTGGGCTGCAGGGATCCAGGCCCTGCTCAGATGAAGGCAGGAAAGGGGAAAGGAGACTAAGACCATCAATGTGGTACTGAGGTCTGTTCTCCTGCTTCTGCCTCCAGTGCTTGAAGTTCACCTCCCAAAGGCAACCTTAGCTCTTTGGGGAACTCCTTTTGGTAAAAGGTGTGTTGTGAATGTATGCTAAGTTTGTCATTCTCTGAGATGACCTGCTCCCTAAAGAAGACTGTAGAAGGAACCTGGCCAAACAGTGACAGGAGCCTGCAGGAACAGGGCTCTAGGCCCCATTCTGCTCAGTCTCACCAGAGCGTCACTGAGCTCCCTCACTCAGATGCTCAGCTCAGCCTGCAGAGGAGATAAAGCATGGACTCTGCACACTGTGAAAGCCAGGCAGGGCTGTGCCTCCAGGCTTGTCTGGGGAGTGTCCAGTCACAGTTCAGGTGATCAGCTCTATTGAGATGGGCTTCTGGAGGCAGCTCCTGCGGGTGGGCAGGGATGGTAGAGAGTTTAAATACAGATCCCTGGGGCTCTATCCCTGACCTCAAGTGTCTCCTCTCTGTACTCACTGCTGAAAGCTTTGCACTATTCCCTCTTCACATGCCCACTCCAGGCTCTTCACGTAAGGCATGAGTCTCTAGGTTTCTGGCTTCATTTAGTCTCTTGTGAAGTTTTCTTCCCTCTGCTATAACCCCAAAGGTCATTAACTGAACTCAATGCAGACTCCAGTTTGGGGAATAAGGAGGGCGTCATGGGGGATTCTTTTCTTAGCTCAAGATTAGGGATAAGGGGAAAGGAGAACCCTAGTAATAGCTTAGTGGCCAGAGGGTGGCGTAGGGGCAATGGGAGATAGATCCCCTTGGCCTCTCTGTGGCAGTCCTCAGTTTTCCAAGACACTGTGGGGCTGGTACCTCCTCTGGTACTCCCTACTTGATCTTCTTATTTGGTACAAGGTGCCTTTGCCTGCCTTACCCAAGCTGACACTATTCCTTTGTCTCTAATGTCTGGCTGCCTTCCACCCCATTCTCTCAGGCTGTGGCAGCTGCAGCCCAGGCAGGCCTGCTCCGGCAGCAGGAGGAACTAGACAGGAAAGCTGCTGAGCTGGAACGCAAGGAGCGGGAGCTACAGAACACTGTGGCCAGCTTGCATGGTAAGGGAGGCTGCTGGAGCCTCAGCCCACCCTGCCTGGTACAGGAATGTCCTCAACCCTGCACAGATTGCCCTCCCAGCACTCATCCTGAGCCACCTTCTTCCTGGGGTAGCTGCAGAACTTCAAGGAATTCTTGGTCTTCTCAGAAGGGCACCAGTCCTAGGGGAGAGCAATAAGTTGGAAGTCTGGAGACCTACAGTATAGACTTGATGTAGATTATTTTTGCACTCCTTTCCAGCTCTGAAATTCTTTTTCTTTTTTCCAGTAGTGGGAATTGAACTCAGGGTCTTATGTATTCTAGGAAGACATTCTACTATAGCTACCACCCTAGCCCTTTTTAAAAATTTTAGTTTAGTTTTTCTGGTACTGGGGATTGAACCCAGAGGCACTTCAACACTGAGCCACAACCCTAGCCCTTTTTAAAAATTTTTATCTTGAGACAGGGTCTCATTAAGTTGCTTAGGGCTTCACTAAGTTGCTGAGGCTGGCCTCAAACTTGTGATTCTCCTATCTGAGCCCCTCAAGTAGCTAGGATTAGAAGTGTGTGCCACTATGCACCCAGCCTGAAATTCTGATTCTTTGATAGCATGAGGCAGGCAGTGGTCCCACGATTTCTTACTCATGATGATGACCCTAGTTATCTTGTTTGTGGGCTTGTTATTAATAAAAATAATTACTTAGACCATTTAGCTCTCTACTTCCCAGTGCATTTGGGCTTCATTATCTTTGAGTGAGCTTATTTAAAGGTGTCTCTTCGGGAACATTTACAATCTTCCATCCCACTCATGCTGCTGCTTGTGGTAGGCCCTCTGCAAACTCTGTGGTTTGCCTATAAACTGGGCCAGCATGTGCATTTCTCTTTCCACACAGTGAGAGAGAACAACTGGCCAGCCCTGCCCTCATGGTGCCCTGTCAAGCCCTGCTTCTATCAGGATTTCTCCGCTGAGATCCCTGCTGACTACCAGCGGATATGCAAGATGCTGTACTATCTCTGGATGTGTGAGTCCAACTCCTGCCCTCAGAGTTCAGGGGTGCAGTGGGTCTCTTTTTGGTCAGCTTATTCTTCTCTGGTGTTGACACTTTCTTCAGACTTCAGCTTTCCTGATACCTAGCTGTGTAGGGACCTCCCTATACAGGGTGCTCTCTTCTTAAGAGGGTCAGTCGAGACCACTTAGCACATAGAGTAGAACTAGGCAGACTTCTAAGTCCCTGTAAAGCTCACTGCTCTAAAAGGCCCATTTTAGGTGAAAGCCTCTCTCTCAGGCTCCTAGGTTCCTGTGGGTGAGAAAAGAGATTCTGTAGCTCTTTTGTGGGCCACTAGGGCTAGGGAAAAAGTTACTTCCCAAAGATCAGCCCTGGAACTGCACTTCCCCATGACTACTTCCCAGAGACCTGGGCTGTCCTGTTACCTCTCAGGAACTTAATTTTGAGGTTCCTGAAACCAGGGTTTGGGAACTGAGATTCTTTACTATTTTTGTAGCTGTCATATAGCATGGACCTCACTTCCTCTCCTAAGGAATGGCTTGCCCTGTCGGGGAGCCTTCAGCTGCCTTGGCTTAGTTTGTTTCTCTCCTCTCCCCTTGACCAGTGCATTCAGTGACCCTGTTTCTGAACCTGCTTGCCTGTCTAGCCTGGTTCACAGGCAACAGCGCCAAGGGAGTGGACTTCGGCCTCTCGATCCTGTGGTTTGTGATCTTCACCCCCTGTGCCTTCCTTTGTTGGTACCGACCCATCTATAAGGCCTTTAGGTGAGTGGGACTGTGGCAAAGAGTGAGGGTTAGGTTGGCATCCCAGTAGTAGGTGACAGACCCCAAGCCTGGGGTCCCATCCCCCTAGTGTATAATAGAGTGGTGTGGAAATTTGGTTTCCTAGTGCCACCCAGAGCCAGAGCAGACAAAAACAGGAGCCATTTTCTTCAGTTGGACCTGAACTCTGCTCTAGGCCCTGTCCACAAATGAGGTAAGGAGATCTAGAGAAGGGATATGGAGCCTCATTTGCCATCCCACTGCACCCAGTCTTGCTGGCAGGGAGATATTTCAGTTGCTAGGAAGAAGGGTCCTCAGAGAACTCCCCTTGGAGTCTCTAAGTGTGCTTAAGAGTGTCAAGCGGATGTTCTTGGTGGCCTCTCTCTTATGTTCACTTGTATACCCCGTTGACTCTTGGGTATCTGATGAGTGCCAGTGCCTAGGTTAGATACTGTGAACATGAATGGCTACATCTCATAGATCCCTAAGGGTTTTGGAATTGTACCTCCGGGTTGATGTTTTCAGAACTGAAATGGGTCAGGGCCCAACTGCATGATCCCATGCATCTTCAGGCAGGACCTGAATACTGCAGGGTACAGCGGTGGAGGTGCTCAACCCATAAAGAGCCTTATCTGATATTCCTACTCTCCATTCCCCAGGTCTTTTGTCCATTTTGTCCACCCAGGTCTTCACAGGTTTTGTGGTGTGGTGGCAGTCGTGTTGAACTCAGGGCCTCTACCACTAAGCTGTGTCCCAACCCCAGGCTTACAGTTTTTACTATTAGAGATTTATGCCTTTTGCTTAGATTTTTATTGCCTCCTATGAAATGCAGGTACTGCAGGAGATGGAGTGTTAGGCTCTTTATATTATCCTTTGGGTGAATAATCTTATCAGGGAGGCAGTAAAAGCCAACCCTTCTTGATTTTTTGGGTAGATATCCATGTGCTTATGTCCTTATGGACAGTGGGACTGGTTCCCTGGGGCCCTGGCTACTTGTCCATCCTGCTTCCTGGCCCCTAGTTAAAATAGATGTCATACAAAGTAAGGAAGGCTCAGGAAATGGCCCAAGCCCTCTCGTGACTTCTTATTTCCCTGTCTCTCCACAGGTCCGACAACTCTTTCAGCTTCTTCGTGTTCTTCTTTGTATTTTTTTGTCAAATAGGGATCTACTTTATCCAGTTGATTGGCATGCCTAACCTGGGGACCAGGTGAGACCTGAGGCATCACAGTGGGAAGTAGGCTTTGAATGTAGGGCTCAGCCTCTCTTGCCCTGTTTACTAGCTCCCAGAGAACTCCATGGATGACCCCAATTCTACCACAGTGGGAGTGGGTGGATGGGCCTGCCTCTGGATCTGCCTTGAGTAAGTTTCCTGTTACTTAACTCACCATTCTTAAGGTGGTGAGTATAGGTGAACTTGGCTTGAATCCTTAGGGCTGTATGCTGTGCTGGATTATAGCCTCTTCCTCCCAGAGGCTGAGGGATGACCTGGCCTTTATAGACACTGAGCTGCAATGTCCAGAGACATTGTAACTGCAGGAGACAGGGCCCAGCTTCCCCTGTGTAGGCTTCTTCCTGCTGTCCTCCCTGAGCACCTGGCTGACTTGAGTTTTCTGGCTACCTTGGTCCTCAACTCAAAATTAGTCTCTAGAGGAAAAGCTAGGACTGATAATTTGCCTCTCTCTTCCAGTGCACAGAGGCAATACAGAAAGGTCAGCCAGGCACTTGACTGAGAGCCCAAGCCTGGAAGAGTGGCACTATTTTGGTCCCCTCCCTCCAGCACAGCTGGCAAATCCAGAGCATGAGGAGAAGGCTGGCTTCCCTGGCACTCAGAGCCAGTGCCCACTGTCCTCCCACCAGCGTGCTTCCTTCTCACCCAGCTCTTCCTAATCTGCTGTCTTTTCGTGAACTAATTCAATTACTCTTTACCCTAAGCAAGATCCTTATAGAAAGGCTGTCATGGGGGGCTGGGGATACAGCTCAGTTGGTAGAGCTTGCCTTGTATGTACAAGGCCCTGGGTTCAATCCCCAGCACCACAAAACAAAGAAAAAGAAAAAAAGAAAGGATAACTGCTGTTTGCCAAGCATGGTGGCATAAACCTGTAATCCCAGATACTCCAAGGTTGAGGCAGGGGGATTGCAAGTTTGAAGCCAGCCTGGACAACTTCAGCAACTTAATGAAACCTTATCTCAAAAAATAAAAAGGACTGAGGATGTGGCCCAGTGGTAAAGTGCCCCTGGTTCAATCCCCAGAACCAAAATAATGATGATGATAATGACAATAACAACTGTTATTCACATTCTGGCCCTGGCCTTGCCCCTCACTGCTCTGCATGGTTCCAACTAGATGTGCTCTGAAGCCTCCAATTGGTTTCTACAGCCCTTCTGTGACCATTTTCTAATTGTGTTTCACCACATCTTTTCTTGTTATTTGTTGTAAAACACTTTAACAGAATTTGCCATCGTATTTACCACCTTAACCACTGAGGAATGCAAAGTTCTGTGGCATTTAGTCAAATTTTTTTTTATTTCACTCATTTATTTTTTATGTGGTGCTGAGGATCGAACCCAGGGTCCTGCATGTGGGAGACGAGTGCTCTACCGCTGAGCCACAACCCCAGCCCCTAGTTGAAATATTTTATCAGCCCAGAAGAAAATGCCATTTCACATGGGAAGTCATTCCTCATTCTCTGCTTCCATGAACCCCTGGCAACCATTAAACTTTTTGTGTGGCTCCCTTCATATAGCATAATGTTTCCAAGATTCAGTCATGCTTTAGTATGTATTAGTACTCTGTTCCTTTGTATGACTGAATATTATTCCATTGCATGGATAATACTATATTTATTCATCAGTTGATGATCATTTGCATTCATTTCAAAATTCTTTTAGCTATTGTGAATAGTGCTAAGAACGTTTTCTGGGGGGTTTACCAGGGATTGAACTCAGGGTCACTCAACAACCACTAAGCCACATTCCCCAGCCCTATTTTGTATTTTATTTAGAGACAAGGTCTCACTGAGTTGCTTAGCACCTCACTTTTGCTGAGGCTGGCTTTGAACTTGTGATCCTCCTGTCTCAGCCTCCTGAGCCACCAGGATTTTAGGTATGTGCCACCACTCCCAGCTTGATGTGAACATTTTTATACAGAATTTAATTTGAAGATCATCTTTTGTGCATGTCTGGGTATGTGTGGTGCTGGAGATTGAACTTAGGACCTCATGCATGCTAAGCCAGCCATCTACCATTGAGCTATACCCCTAGCCTCAAGTTTTTGTTTATCTTCCCTTTGTATATCTTTCTAGGAGTAGAATTGTGAGTTATAAAGTAATTGTACTTTCTTTTGTAGTGTGGTACTAGAACTTGAACCTAGGGGCACTTTACCACTGAGCTACATCCCCAGCCCTTTTAATTTTTTATTTTGAGACAGGGACTTGCCAAGTTGCTGAGGCTAGCCTCAAACTTGCTATCCTCCTGCCTCAGCGTCTCAAGTCACTGGGATTACAGGCATGTGCCACCACACCCATCTAAGTCTACCTTTAACTTATTGAGGAGACTCTAAAGTGTTTCACACAGTACCTGAACTGCAGTGCATAAGGGTTCCACTTTCTTCATGTCCTCACCAATACTTGTTATTTTCTTTTTAATTTAAATTATTATACCACCCTAAAGATATATTTCACAGTTGTTTTGATTTGCGTTTCCTGAATGCCTAATGATATTGAGTACACTTTATGCTTCTTGGCCATTTGTGTATCTTCTTTGGAGAAATATCTGTTCTATTCTTTTGCTAACTGGGCTTTTTGTTATTGAGTTCTAAGGGTTCTTTACATATTCTGAATACTAGACTTTTACTAGATAATGTTTTCATAAGTTTTATTTTCTATTCTCTACATTAATTTCTCAATGTCCTTTTTGCTGGGTATGTTGGCACATTCTTGTAGTCCCAACTTGGGAGGCTGAGACAGAAAGATCACAAGTTTGAAGCCAGCCTCAGCCGTTTAGTAAGACCTTATCTCAAAAAATAAAAAGGGCTGGGGGTGTGGCTCAGTGGTAAAGTGCCCCTGGGTTCAATCCCTGGTACTGGAAAAAAAAAAATCCTTTCATGCACAAAAGTTATTTATTTATTAGTGCTGGGAACTGAACCCAGAGCCACATACAAGCTAAAAAGCATGTATTCAACCACTGAGCTAAAGCCCTACTCTAAAAGTTTTGAATTTTGATCAAGTCCAACTTATCTTTTTCTTTTGGTGTCATATCTAAGAAACTATTGCCAAACTTATAATCATGAAGAGTTGTAGTAAGTTTTCAAATCAGGGAGTATGAAGATAATCCCTTTTACAGATGAGGATACTGGAACTCAGGGACGTGACAAGGCTGACTAAAGACAGAACGGGCTATTCCTGAGCTAGTATGAGAAACTTGGTGCCAGGATAAATGCAGCAGGCATTCCATGCACCCCACCCCCAAGGAACAGGGGGCAGCTGCTATATCTTCTTTCTGAACCTCACATGGCTAGAAGATTCCCCATGTGAATCCATTTCTGAGGCCCCAAAGGAGGCCAACTGGAGTGGCATGGGCTGGTCAGCCCTAAAAGAGGCCTGGCCTCTCTCAGACTAAGGGCTCTGGCCCATAGCGTTCACTATATTGCAGAGAGATGTCCAGGTGGTAGTTGGGACACAGCAGCCAACTGGAAAAGAATCCCTTATGGAACTTCTGGAACCCACTCCCACTTTGCCCCCTCTGCCCCCCCTCTTCCTTTTGTAGTGGTTGGATTGCAGCCCTGTCTACACTGCAGCAAGAGTCCTTGGCCGTGTCAATCATCATGATGGTGGTGGCTGGCTTCTTTACACTATGTGCTGGGCTCTCGCTCTTCCTCCTACAGCGGGTAAGTGAGGGCCAGGCCCCAACAAGCTCAAAGAAGTAAGTGCTCGCTCTGGTCTTTGCCATGAGGGGTTCCTCACCTCTGTAGTTGGGCCTCCTAGGACATGGAGGTGTACAGCACATGCCTCCAAGACTCTTGAGTGGGCAGTTAGGCAGAGTTGGGTGCCTGGGGGCAAGTCCCTGTGGGAGTATAGCTAGAATTCTGGTGGGCCCATCACTCCACCCTCTTTCCCCAGGTGCACTCCTTCTATCGCCGGACAGGAGCTAGCTTCCAGCAGGCCCAGGAGGAGTTTTCCCAGGGCATCTTCAGCAACAGAACCTTCCGCAATGCGGCCTCATCTGCTGCCCGAGGAACCTTCCAGGGGAATTAGTGCTCCTGATTCTCCTCCCTCTGCCTCAGCCTCTTCTCTCTCCTGCCTTCTAAGCTGCACTTTCCATGGGTGCCTTATGCAGTGGTTGTGCCCAGCACTGACCCGGCGGGGGCCTCTCTTCCTCCTTCCTCAGCAACTAGCTCTCCCTTCCCCTGAGGGATGGGGAGGGAGGGACAGGGACTTTTTTTTACACAAGAGAAAAAAAATAACAAAGATGCCTTTCCTTCTCTGGTGGTGGTTTGGTAGGATTCTTTTGTCTCACTGGAAGCAGTGGGACTGAAGCTGTCTTCCTCCTGTATGCGCGCGCGCACACACACACACACACACACACACACAGGATCATTAGCTGGCCTGGACCTACCCTAGCTGGAATTTTCTGTTGGCATCCTGGAACTCATGTCCTGGGACCACAGTCCTTCCCCAGAAGGCCTGGCCCAAATTGGGCTCTACATAGCAAGCATGGGACCCCCACGGTCCTGCCCTGCCTGACCTGGTTGGGATAAACCTCCCAAGGGTTCCACTTTAGGTGAGCTGCAGTCTAGGTATATGGACAGGTCTGTTCCCCAGATCACTCTGGCATGGTCTCTGGGTTTCCAGAGTCTCTGGCTGGTTGCCCCAGGCTCTTCCCTGCCTCATGTTATTCACAAATATATTCATAACCTTCCTGGTGTGTGTAGCACCTTGTCCCCTCTGGCTCTGAGTCCTTTTCAGACTATGAATGTGCAATGGAGTTGGCTGGGATTGAGATAAGGAGGGATAGGACATTGGTCCCAAGTTGTCCCACCCAGCCTTTGGCATCTGCTAGGAGAGTGGGTCTTGAATGTTCTGGTGGTTTGTATGGCCCTGTTTGTTCTGTTCTCTCCTAAAGGACAGGTATTCTTTGCCTTAGCCTTAATCCTGTCCCCACCAATAGCCATTTCCATCTTGTGAAACTCTTGAGGGAGGGGGGAATAGTTCTAGAACTGGGTCCTTCAGGCAGGACAGATGAGCCATTTTTCTGAGGGTTCCAAACTAATCCTTCAGGGTTCCTTCCACACCCAGAGTAGAATCTAGGTCATCTTCCATCACTCGGGATTCTTAGGAGATGTGTTACTGTGATGCATCTCTGGGAGTTCACTGCCTGCACCTTGTCCTGCAGAGGTTGCAGGATCTGGTGTGTGGGCTGTGGGAACTTAGCAAGCTGGCCAGTCTGCAGACTCTGGGTCCTGGAGCCCGCCTGAGGCAGCCCCCCAGACTGTCGGCCCACTTAGGCCTAGAGCTACTCAGTGATAATGACAGCGACCAGGGTTTTGTAAACTCCTTTCTGGTTTTTCTCCTCCGTGTACAAATGTATATGTTTTGTCTAAATTTTTGTGCTTAAATAAAAATAAGACATTTTCAGACAGCACTGGTCCTGATGTCTGGGGAATGTGGGAGTATGGTGTGGTCCATCACATAGGGGTTGAAGGCTTTGGCTGGTCTTTGACAGGTGGATGAGCCCCTTCCTCCAAAGACAAAGGTAGACGGTAGGCCGGGGAAAGGAAACTTGGCCTTTTCCAAAGGCACTGGCTGGTCCCAAGTACTTCTACTTTCAGAACTACCATTCGTTTTTGTACTGGGGATTGAACCCAGGGATTTACCACTGAGCGACATTCCTATCCCCACCCCCACCCTTTTTTTTTTGAGACAGTCTTGCTAAATTGCAGAGGCTGACCCCGAACTTGCAATCCGCCTGCCTCGACCTCCGGAGTGTCTGGGATTACAGCTACCACCCCCAGGGAAGAGCTGCTAGTCTTGTCTTCCAGGGAGCCATTCTGGGTCCCTCTTGGAATCTCCCCTCCCCCTCACGCACCTGTTCATCGGGCTCCTCCTCTCCCGCCCCCTCACGTGAATTATCTCTGGACGCTGTCTCTGGGTGGGATTCCCTGGGTGACTGTATCCGCGGTACTCGGTTCGCTTTCGTGCGCCTCGCGGAAACTTCATTGACCCCGAAAAGGCCTTGAGGGTCCTGGCGGAGGACGTCCAGGGGCCGGTGCGAGAGCGGGAGGAGGACGAGCCTCGGAGCGGGGCGGGGTCGAAGTGCACTTCCGGAGGGCGGCGCTAGGGCTGCGTGGACCCCAGCTAAGCCGCCGTGCGCTACGCGGGCTCGGCTGCCGGCCCGAACCGGCGCCGGGAACCAGGAAGCGCCTGCGGGCGGGCGCGGGATGGCTGGGCCCAGCTGGGGGCCCCCTCGGCTGGACGGCTTCATCCTCACCGAGCGCCTGGGCAGTGGCACCTACGCCACTGTGTACAAGGCCTACGCCAAGGTGGGTGTGGGAGGGGCTCCAGCGCCGGGCGCTCGGCTCCTGTGCCGCCGACGCAGGAGACCTGGGGGGTCAGAGACCTCGTAAGATCAGTGGGGCCCGCGGTCTGCCCAGCCCCAGGCTGACCCTGGCGCAGTAGGGTGGAGCTCACTGCCACTCCTGGGTCTTAAAAACAAACACAAGTATACGCCCACTGTTTGCTCTGGAGGGGCGGGTGGGACCCCAGTGTCAGAGGCTGAAGAACTGGCTCAAAACGGAAGTTGCTCGTGGACTGGGAGGAGTCTAGGACAGGACTCTAGAAGGCAAGACCAGTAAGGGGCGGAGTGGCAGTTCTAGAATACTGAGTGACGTGCTTTTGCGTGGGCACCTAGAATGCGGTGCAGTGAGGGTTGGGTTGCAGAAGGTTGGAGAACAACCAAGCTGGATTGGGAAGCCAGGATTCCAGAATCCAGCTGCCTCGTGAACCTGAGAAGGGGAAGCTGGGATTTCCGCTCGGAGGCTTGTGTGGGTGGGCAGGTCCAGGGATTGGAAAGGAGCAAAGGTGCCTCTTCCAGCAAGGCATGACCCTGGCCCTCTCAAGGCAGAGCCCCCAATCTCCTTTCCAACAGAAGGACACTCGAGAGGTGGTAGCTATAAAGTGTGTGGCAAAAAAAAGTCTGAACAAGGCGTCGGTGGAAAACCTCCTGACTGAGATTGAGATCCTCAAGGGCATTCGGCACCCCCATATCGTGCAGCTGAAAGACTTCCAGGTGTGAACCTGGGATGGGTCTCCCCCAAGGGGGCTGGAAAAGGGACACACTCTAGGCTGCTTCTCTACTTCTAATCACAGTGGGACAGTGACAATATCTACCTCATCATGGAGTTCTGTGCGGGAGGTGACTTGTCTCGATTCATCCATACCCGAAGGATTCTTCCTGAGAAGGTGGCTCGAGTCTTCATGCAGCAATTGGGTAAAAGCCTCTGATCCCAGCCTCACAGCCCTTCCCATGTTTTCTGTACCTCCTGCATACTACCCCTATCCCCAGGCTTAGAGACCTGGCATTGCTTTGCAGCTGCTGCTGCTGCTTAAGAATTTTTAGGGCCCTGTCTTTCCCATGTTCCAACCCTAGCTTCAGGGTGCTGTGAGATAGAGGAGCCTCCATTTGCTGGTAGTTCAGGCTTCCACATTTGGAACATAATATGAGAATTTTATTCAACATTCTAAGGCCCAGTAGGTGGAACCCAAGTACATTAGCAAGGAAAAGTAAAAGATCCTAAAGGGCCAGGGCATCTCAGGAGACTTCTGAGAGGAGGGAGACTTGTGAGAAGTCTAGAGGGAAGAAAGGTGGGCAGTGGAGGATAGTGAACTTTTGCAAGTGGCAGGAGCCTGGTGCTTATCTGTGAAGCATTTGTGAGACTAGTAAGGCTAGAACTGGGGCTGTGTAAGCTTGAAAGGGCAGATGAAATCCTGGGGAGGGGAGACATAAGCAGGAGAGGGGCTACTCTGACCTGTCTCTTTGCGCATGTCCTGCTCCCCAGCTAGTGCCCTGCAGTTTCTGCATGAACGAAACATCTCTCACCTGGATCTGAAGCCACAGAACATTCTGCTGAGTTCTTTGGAGAAGCCCCACCTTAAACTGGCAGGTCTGAATCTGGAACAGCAGTGGTGATGTTTTTGGGTGGGTGAGCAGAGGCTCCCTCTGCCTGGCAGGCCCCTGTTGAGACATCAAACAGGGACAGACTGGTAGATCCAGGGCTGGGTCACATCATTGGCAGGTAAGAGCTTTCTTAGACTGCCTACACTTAACTCCAGCAATGTAATGGGCAGAGTTAGGGTAAGTTTGTGGTCAGAGTTGGGGCTTACTGTATGTCAGGTTTGGATTTCAGTCTGGAAACAGTCTCATTGTGTGACCAGCATCAGGGATCAGTCTGTGATCAGGGAACAGACTGGATTGGTTCTCAAACTGTGACTCAATCTGGGGCGGTCTTGGAGGGGGTGTTGTGGGGGAAGAGTGGTTGTGGCCCCTGATACAATTTGGACAAGAATGGACTTTAGGCTAGAGGTCAAAGAACATGGTGTAGCCTAAGATGGTGAACAGTGAGGGTGAGGCCCTTATCCATGTAGCTGGTATGATCAGGTGGCTTCCTAGGAAGCAGATGCCTAGAGAGAGTGTGCAGGTTGGTTGGGATTTCCACACCCAGAGGAAGAAATAGGAGGATGTTGCAGAGGCTGGGAAGTGGGATTGATCCTGGGGGTGAGTCTGGAAGGTGGGGAAGAGCCCTGCCATGAGCTGGGGGTGAGGTTTTACAGGCTACAAGTGGAAGCAGCTGGAATTTGAGCCCTGCTGCCTGGCCTTTTGCCTATAGACTTTGGCTTCGCACAGCACATGTCCCCATGGGATGAGAAGCATGTACTCCGCGGTTCTCCCCTCTATATGGCCCCTGAGATGGTGTGTCAGCGACAGTACGACGCCCGTGTGGACCTTTGGTCCGTAGGGGTCATCCTGTATGGTGAGACCTCTGTCCCCCTCTCCCACCCTAACCCAAGGGCTGTACTCTGTGTCCTCTGATAAGACTTCTCTGGACCTCTGGGGTATAAATGAGAACTACAGTTCTATTGATCTGTGGCCCTGTTCTAAGGGGCATCAGATCCCCCTCCCCAGGAGTGTGCCAGCCCATGCTTGGCCTCCTCCCTTCCCAACCTCTCCTCTGCCTCCCTTCCACAGAAGCCCTCTTTGGGCAGCCCCCTTTTGCCTCCAGGTCATTCTTGGAACTGGAAGAGAAGATCCGAAGCAATCGGGTTATTGAGGTGGGTCTGCCAGGGTCTTAGCAACCATGTGGGGGTGGAAGGAGTCAGGGCCTTGCACAAATTGCAGTGTGGGCCCCAGGCTGTCTCCATGGTCATGGGGCAGGCTCTAGCAGGGAAGGTGGGGCTGGATGCATTGCAGGGATCCGGGACAGTCCACAGCAAACAGGGGCAGGCCACAACAGAGCCAGACCCAAACTTCCCAGGAACATAGTGCAGGGATGGAGGGAGGGATCCACAGACAGGGCTCTGCTCCCCTGTGGTCAAGAGCCTGGGAAATGAAGCCTGGCTCTCCACAGGCTCTGTCACCTTGACCTATCTTGTTCCTTTTGGGTCTCAGATTCTCCACATGTCAAACATGTGTCTCTGAGGTTCCTAACAGGGCCCTGGGCTCGGGGCTGAGGTGCTGGAGCCCAGTGACATTTGTCCCTGCCCTCCTCTTCCCATAGCTCCCCTTGAGGCCCCCGCTCTCCCGAGACTGCCGTGACCTACTACAGCGGCTCCTGGAGCGGGACCCAAGCCGTCGGATCTCCTTCCAGGACTTCTTTGCCCACCCCTGGGTAGACCTGGAGCACATGCCTAGCGGGGAGAGCTTGGCACGAGCAGTAAGCAGACCAACAGGGATGTGGTGGGATAAGGGCATGTGGGGGGGGTCCCATCTGCCCCCCCTCGGTGGTGAAAAGGTGGCTCACCCACAGAGGCAAGAGGATGGGCTCGGGGTTTTATCTCAGCCCTGTGCTGGGGAGTGTGGGGGTGGGCCTGACTCCTGATCTGCCCATCCCCAGACTGCCCTGGTGGTAGAGGCTGTGAAGAAGGACCAGGAAGGGGACGCTGCAGCTGCCTTATCTCTCTACTGCAAGGCTCTGGACTTCTTTGTGCCTGCCCTGCACTGTGAGTGCCAAACTAAGCTCTGTAGTTCCCGAGTACAGCAGGAGTGGGGGTCAGCTATATCTGCAGTGATGGATTCCAGAGGAAGTTTCCCATCCAGGATCTTACGGGAGATAAGGCAGAGGATAAACCTGGAACATGGTGTTTTAGGGATTCTTGGGCTTGGTGTGGCATAGACATCCCTCCCCCCCAAGACTCCTCATGTGAATCCCCACCTTCTGCAGATGAAGTGGATGCCCAGCGGAAGGAAGCAATTAAGGCAAAGGTGGGTGAGATCCTAGGAGGAAAAGGGTGGTGTGAGTGGAGAGGCCCCAAAGATCCCAGGGCCTCTGGGGAATGACTGTCTTAGAATTGGGCTGGGGAGGGATCAGGCCAGCTTCATTTGACGCCTGATGTAGTTACAGCTTGAGAGAGTTATTGAGGACCCAC